ATGTTCTAAGAACAAAAACAATGTTCTTAGAACATGAAGCCGATGCGTTAAAACAAGACAGTCCCGGCCAGAAATGCTCTAAGAAAATGTCATGCAGACCACGACAAGTTCTTATAGCATTTTTTGGTGGGCCAAGAGGCGAGCCGGGACGCTTCGCCACTGCTTGAAACAGCTTCGGGTTCGCTCGGAGGGCCAGGTTCGCTCTGGACTGTGCCAGTGGAGCGCCCGCCAGCTGCGTCGCAGACGCTCGTGGAACGCGCAACATCTGCGGGCCCGATCGGATAGCGTCTTTCTACTCGACTGTCTGGCTCCACCCCAGTGTGGTCGGTCGTCTGCTTGCCCCATCTTTTCCCTCCCCGCTCTACCGTCCTACAATTAGGGGGCCACATGCGAACCCTACCCCTACCCGCCACGATTTCTGAGGGGGAGGGCGGGGTTCACTTCGCTCAGAAAAATCGTGGGGGGTAGGGGTAAGGTTCGCATGTGGCCCCCTACCAATCCAGTCGGAATATGTGGGCGGACCTGCAGTTCAAACGGTCATCGCGTGATCAGACAACCTGATGTCACAGCAATTCAAACAACTCGCGTGGGCACGCGAGAAAGGAATACATAGTCGCAAACAATGTAGGACGAGACTGGAGATCAACTAGACAATCAGGGTACTGCGCAATGCTTCCGTGAAGAAGCTCGACGGTGGGGCAACTGCGACAGGTACGACGGAGAATGTGCTTTTCTTGTTACCATGCTTGATGCTGTGCTCTGCCTTTGGTCCTCCAGCGCGCCCGATTTCGACTCTGCCCCCCCCCCCCCCCACGTGGGAGCTCGCCGATCGCACGGCAGAAAGCCCTGCGCAAGTGATCCGTCTGCTGCACACAGTCGACCGTGCCCCACACGGCTATTGGGCCAGGACTGCACAAGACAAAACAAAATGCATGCATGATGCAATACTTGTCTTGCAAGGGTACGGAAAAACGGACTGCCTCCCTTGCGCGAAGGAGGGTAATGTTCATTCCGCGAAACGGCGGGCCGCTTGGGGGAAAGAACGTGGAAACGCCGTGCTGGGCGCTCGCCAGTACACATCCACTGGAGCCTCGGCACCACAGCACGCGCGGCAGAGCCGCATGGAAAGTTGGGCCGGCGAACTGGCGAACACCTGCAGGTGTCCAGCACGCGGGACGGCGGGCTCCTGGTGGCCCTTGCCGCAGACCAACCGTGTCCAGCCGTAGAACGGAAGGAAGCAGAGACACTCTGAAGTATGTCGACGCGGATGGCCACACGCATTATCGACCAACAACAGATTCTGTTATTGCATCAGAAGCTCGGACTCAGCTGGCACGGCAAGCACTTCTCACGTCAAACATTCAGCGACGGCACGGGGGAGGAGGCATGGCAAAGGGGAGAGAGAAGGAGGAGGGGGGGAGGGGGAGCGGAGGAGGACCGTACTCCGTACTCCTCTATTGAAAAGGGGCTCACAGGCTCAGGCGAATGCACACGGGCACCTCGCCCTGGTCCCAGGCCGCCGCCGCGAGCATCCAGTCCTCGATCGGCAGCTCGCTCATGGACTGGGAGCTGCTCGAAGAGGGAAAGCAACTCGCCGTGCCGGGGGCCGACGGCTGCGAGCCAGCGCTGGCGGCGCCAGAATCTGCGGCGTGCTCGGCTGCGCCCGCGGCCTCGAAATAGTCAATACTGGGCGGCACTAGCGTGGACTGCGAGCGAATCGGCTGCGCCTGCGCCAGCGGCGCCGCCTTGGTCCAGGCATCCTCGCCGTGGCCCCGCCGCAGCTCGAGCGCCAAAGGCCACGCGGTCTTGCCAAAGCGCCCCCTGGACGGCGCCTCGGAACGCGCCAACCGCCAGTACCGGGAGCCTTCGGCGTCTCCGGCCCCGCGGCAGGCCTCCGCGATCAGGTCGCACGACTGCACGTGGCTGTCTGCGCCGCCGGCGCTGCTGGCCACATCGCCTTGCCAGAAGCGGACCAGCGTGAAGAGGGTGACGTTGTCCGGCGCGTGCCCGGCGACCACCATCTTATCCAGCCAATCCTTGACCATACCCAGGTCGCGCTGCCTCGCAAATGTGTCCACCATGCTGTTGAAGGTGATGGTGTTGGGCCGAACCCCCCAAGACAGCATGCGCCTGTACCACTTCAGCGCAGCCGCGGCGTCCCCCTTCTGCGCGCACGCGTGCAGCATGGTGTTGAAGCACACGATGTTCGGGGAGAGCCGGCGGCCCAGCATCGCCTCGAACCACTCCTCCGCCCTGCCCAAGTCGATATTCTTTGCGTTCGCGTGGATGATGGATGCGAAGCTGACGTTGTCGGCCCTGTATCCGTTCTTCTCCATTTCATGGAACCAGTACTCCGCCCGCTCGACGAGCCCGAGCTTCGCGCACGCGCTGATAACGCAGTTGTACGTCTTCTCGTCTGGGCGGAACCCAGCCTCCCCCATCTTCAGCAACCACTTCTCGGCCTTGGTAGGACTCGACGCTTTCGCGCACGAGTTGATGAGGGAGTTGAAGACGACCGCATCTGGGGAAACTCCGAACATCAGCATATCCTGAAACCAATCCTCTGCTTTGTCCATCTTGCCCGCCTTGGCGGCACAATCGATGATGGTGCTGAACGACATGACGCAGGGCTCGATGCCCGCGTTTACCATCTTCCTCATCGGCATAGAACCGGGGGGGGGGAAGCCTACCCTGGGCCCTACCCAAGGCCGTAGGGTAGCCTACCCTAGGCCCTACCCAAGGCCCTAGGGTAGCCTAGGGTAGGCCCTACCCAAGGCCCTAGGGTAGCCTAGGGTAGGCCCTACCCAAGGCCCTAGGGTAGACCTAGGGTAGGCCCTACCCAAGAGCCTACGGTAGACCCAGGGAAGGCTTAGGCATGGGCTTAGGGTAAACATTGAGGGAAGGGCTACAGGTAGGCCTACCCTAGCCCTAGGGGGAAGGCCTAGGGCCAAGCCTAGGGTAGACCTAGGGGTAAGGCCTAAGGGTAGGCCTAAGGGTAGGCCTAGGGTAGGCCTAGGGGGTAGGCCAAGGGGTAGGCCTAGGGTATGCCTAGGGGGTAGGCCTAGGGGGCCTAGGGTAGGCCAAGGCCATAGGCCTAGGGGGTAGGCCTCGGTTAGGCCTAGGGTGAACCTAGGGTAGGCCTACGGTAGGCCTAGGGAAAACGCCTAGGGGTAGGCCTAGGAGGTAGGCCTAGGGGTAGGCCTAGGGGGAATGCCCAGGGTAAGCCTAGGGAAGGCCTAGGGGATAGCCTAGGGTACGCCTAGAAAGTAGGCCTAGGGGTGAGCCTAGGATGAGCCTAGGGGGAAGGCCTAGGGGGTAGGCCTACGGGTAGGCCTAGGCAAGGGGAAAGGCCTAGGGGAAAGGCCTAGGGGTAGGCCTAAGGCAAGCCTAGGGGATAAGCCTAGGGGGAAGCCCAAGGTAATTAAGCCTAAGGGGTAGGGCTACGGGTAAGCCTAAGAAAGCAGGCCCTAGGGGGTAGGGCGAAGGGAAGCCTAGTGGAAGGCCTAGGGTAGGCCTAGGGTGTAGGCCCAAGGGTAAGGCACGCTAACGTGCGGGTCGGGCGGGGCGGGCGGGACATCAACACATCATGCATCATCGAATGGACACGCGAGAACCCTAATGGGTCGGGTCGAGACGCGGTGGGTCGGGTGGACCCTAACGTGGCGGGTCGGGTCGGGCCGGGCGAGCCCTACCGGGCGGGTCGGGTCGGGCAGGCGGGGCATTAAAATATCATGCGGCATCGAACGGACACTCGAGAACCCAAACGGGTAACGGGTCGGGTCGCGTTGGGTGGGGCGGACGCTAACGGGCGGGTCGAGTCGGGCGGTCGGACATTAAAGTCTGACGCATCATCGAATGGACACGCGAGAACCCGATGGTCCGCTACCGAAAATTTCCGGTAGCGCTCCGCAGAGATCGGTCGCTACCGAAATACCCAAATGTAGCGCCCAATACCGGTATCAGAGCGTTCCGAAATCCACTATTTCAACGCCCTCGAACGAAGATCCGGTCGCTACCGAAATTCGGGGTGCGTCGAAATCGCTACCGAAAATTTCCGGTACCAGACCATCTGGGTAATTAACGGTTCGGGTCGGGACGGGTCGGATCGGGCGAAGCGAGACCGTTCGCCGGGACGCCCGTTCGCCCGAAGCCCGCTCGCCCGAAAACCGTCCGCCCGGAGGCCCGTCCGCCCGGAGGCCCGCTCGCCTGGAAGCCCGTGCGCCCGGAGGCCCGTTAGGGAAGCCCGTTGGCCCGGAGCCTGCTCGCCCGGAAGCCCGTTGGCCCGGAGCCCGTTCGCCCGGAGGCCCGTTCGCCCGGCGCCCGTTCGCCCGGAGCCTCCTCCGCCGCTGCCGCTGGCGACGCCGGCGCGATTCTCCGGCTCGTCCCCACCTCCTCCTCCTCCTCCTCCTCCTCCTCCTCCTCCTCCTCCTCCTCCTCCTCCTCCCCCTCCCCCTCCCCCTCCAACTCCTCCTCTTCCTCCGCCTCCTCCTCATCCTCCTCCCTCGCCCTCTTTCTCCCTCCCCCTCCCCCATCCCTCCCTCTCCTCCGCCTCCTCCCCGCCCTCCTCTTCCCTCCCCAGTCTTCCTCCTCCGCCGTCGCCGTCGCCGCTCCCGTCGGTCGTCGCCGTCGTCGCCGTCGCACTGTGGGCGCAAAGGGGAAGGCAACAACAGCAGGAGGAAGACGAGGACGACGTCGCCAGCGACGGGCGGGTCGGGTCAGGTCGGGCGGGCGGACCCTAACGGCGGGTCGGGTCGGTCGGGCGGGACATCAAAGTGCGGTGTATGCTCGAAATCAGACGTCGGGCGGGCGGACCCAAACGGGCGGGGCGGGTCGGGTCGGGCGGGACATCAAAGTGTGGTACATGATCGAATTGACACGCGAGTTCCCAAACGGGCGGGTCGGGTTGGGTCGGGTCGGGCGGGAAGACCCTAACAGGCGGGTCGGGTCGGGCTGGGCGGACCCTGACGGGCGGGCCGGGCCGGGCGGGACATTAGAGTGTGGTGCGTTATCAAGTTGACACGCAAGAACCCTAACGGGCGGGTCGGGTCGGGTCGGGTCGGGCGGACCCTCTGAGGCGGGTCGGGTCGGGCGGGCGGGACATTAAAGTGCGGTGTATGCTCGAAATCACACACGAGAGGCCCAACAAGCGGGTCGGGTCGGGTATGGTCGGGCGGGCGAACCCTAACGGGCGGGTCGGGTCGGGTTTGGCGGGCGGACCCTGACGGGCGGGTCGGGTCGGGCGGGCGGGACATGAAAATGCGGTGTATGCTCAAAATCACACGCAAGAGCCGTAACGGACGGGTCGGGTCGGGTCGGGTCGGGCGGACCCAAGCGGGCGGGCCTGGTGCGGTCGGGCGGGCGAACCCTAACGGGCGGGTCGGGTCGGGGCGGGCGGGACATTAAAATATGGTGCATGATCGAGCCCACGCGCGAGAAAGCCCTAACGGGTCGGGTCGGGTCGGGTCGGGCGTGCGGACCCTAATGGGCCGGTCGGGTCGGGCCGGGGGGGGGGCGGACCCCAACGGGCGGGTGAGTTCACACGCGAGAGCTCTAACGGGCGGGACGGGTCGACTCGGGTCGGGCGGGCAGACCCTAACGGGCGGGTCGGGTCGGGCGGGCGGGACATTCAAGTGTGGTACATGATCGAGCTGACACGCGAGAGCCCTAACGGGCGGGTTGGGTCGGGCCAGGCGGACCCTAACGGGCGGGTCGGGCGTGCGGGACGTTAAAATGCGGTGCGCGATCGAATTTCAAAGCGAGAGCCCTAACGGGCGGGTCGGGTCGGGTCGGGTCGGGTCGGGCGGGTGGACCCTAACGGGCGGGTCGGGTCGGGTGGGCGGGGCATGAAAATGTGGTGCGTGATCGAGTTCACACGCGATAACCCTAACGGGCGGGTCGGGTCGGGCTTGGCGGGCGGACTCTGACGGGCGGGTCGGGTCGGGTTTGGCGGGCGGACCCGAAAAGGGGATTGGGTCGGGCGGGCGGGACATGAAAGTGCGGTGTATGCTCGAAATCACACGCGAGAGCCCTAACGGGCGGGTCGGGTCGGTTCGGGACGGGCGGACCCAAACGGGCGGGTCGGGTCAGGCGGCAGACCCCGACGAGCGGGTCGGGTCGGGCGGGCGGGACATTAAAGTATGGTGCATGATCGAGTTCGTACGCGAGAACCCTAACGGGCGGGTCGGGTCGGGCGGGTAACGGGCGGGTCGGGTCGGGTCGGGCGGGCGGACCGTAACGGGCGGGTCGGGTCGGGCGGGCGGGACATTAAAACGTGGTACATGATCGAGTTCACGCGCGAGAACCCTAACGGGCAGGTCGGGTCGGGTCGGGTCGGGCCGGGCGGACCCTAACGGGCGGGTCGGGTCGGGTCGGGCGGGCGGTCCCTAACGGGCGGGACGGGTCGGGCGGGCGGGACATTAAAGTGTGGTGCATTGTCGAGTTCACACGCGAGAACCCTAACGGGCGGGTCGTGTCGAGCAGCGGGCGGACCCTGACGGGCGGGTCGGGTCGGGTCGGGCGGGCCCTAACTGGCGGGTAGGCCTAGGGGGTAGGCGAAGGGGAAAGCCAACGGTAGGCCTACGGGGTAGGCCTACGGATTCGCCTAGGATAGACCTGGGAGGGAGGCCTAGGGGTAGGCCTAGAGTAAGCCTAGGTGGAAGGCTTAGGGGTGGGCCTAGGGTTGGTCTAGGGGGAAAGCTTAGCAGTAGGCCTAGCGGGGACTGCCTAGGGATAATCCTAGGGGTACGGTGGGCTTCAGGCAGGCCTGGGGGGACTGCCTAGGGGCAGACCTGGGGTAGACCGAAGGGTAGGCCTAGGTGGTAGGCCTAAGAGTAAGCCTACGGTGAGCCTAGGAGGTAGGCCTAGGGTAAGCCTAGGGTCGGCCTTGGAGGAAGGCCTAGGGGTAGGCCTAGGGGGTAGACCTAGGGGTAGGCCTAGGGTAGGCCTAGGGGGAAGGCCCAGGGCTAGGCCTAGGGTAGGCCTAGGGGGTAGGCCTAGGGGGTAGGCCTACGAGTAGCCCTAGGGTAGGCCTAAGGGGGTAGGCCTAAGGGTAGGCCTAGGGTAGGCCTACCCTCCGGGTTCTATAAGTCCTCATCCACGTCTCGGCGCCCACGAGGTCGTGAGCGCGCGAGAAGGCGCTGATCATGGTGTTGTACGTTATGCTGTTCGGCTGAAGCCTCTGACTCTGCATGTGCTCGAACCACTCGACCGCCCGCGGGACGTCCGCTGCCTTGGCGCATGCATCCAGGACGGAGTTGAAGGTGATAATGTTGGGCACGAAGCCCACCTGTACCATGCGGTCGACCGTCCACGAGGCGCCGCCCGGGCAGCGGGCCCTCGCGCACGCACTGATGACGGAGTGGTAGAAGACCTTGTTGCACGCATGCCGCTGGCTCAAGAGAGCCTCCGCGGCACGGAGGTTCCCCTTCACGAGGTGGTCCGAAACCTGCCTGACCAAGGCTTGCCTTCCCTCGTCCGCCGCCAGGTTCATCGTTCGTACTGCTCGCGCGGCGGCTCCGATGGGCAGCGGCCCGCGACCACTTCTCTCGCGCCCCTTGAGCCAAAGTATCCCGGCAAAGCAACCTAACAGCGATGTGTAGAAGCATATCTGAAAGCATTCCCCTTAAGATTCAGATGAAAATCCAGTTGTCGAATTCTGCTGTTCTCGCAGTCGTAGTCGCATTCGCGATGACAGTCGCAGCGGCAACGGCAGTCGCAGTCACAGCCTCAGCCTCAGCCTGCCTCAGCCTCAGCCTCAGCCTGCCTCAGCCTCAGCCTGCCTCAGCCTCAGCCTCAGCCTGCTTCAGCCTCAGCCTCAGTCTGCCTTCAGCCTCGGCCTCAGCCTCAGCCTGCCTCAGCCTCAGCCTGCATCAGCCTCAGCCTCAGCCTCAGCCTGCCTCAGCATCAGCCTGCTCAGCCTCAGCCTCAGCCTGCCTCAGCCTCAGCCTCAGTCTGCTTCAGCCTCAGCCTCAGTCTGCCTTCAGCCTCGGCCTCAGCCTCAGCCTGCCTCAGCCTCAGCCTGCCTCGGCCGCAGCATCAGCCTGCCTCAGCATTCAAAATGTGGCCCAGGAATGGAGTTCTGGGAACTAGAAGAACACGAAGTGGCCTACAGTTGGCTCCGGGCATTCAAAATCATGCCCAGGAATGGAGTTCTGGGAACTTGAAGAGCACGAAGTGGCCTACAGTTGGCTCCGGGCATCCAAAATGTGGCCCGGGAATGGAGTTCTGGGAAATCGAAGAGCACGAAGTGGCCTACAGTTGGCTCCGGGCATCCAAAATGTGGCCCGGGAATGGAGTTCTGGGAAGTCGAAGAGCACGAAGTGGCCTACAGTTGGCTCCGGGCATCCAAAATGTGGCCCGGGAATGGAGTTCTGGGAGCACCAAGAGCGATTTTGCGAGGATGTCCCAAGCGATTTCGGCTTCGGCGGCAGCCTCCCGGCAGCCTCCCCGGGTCCCGCCCAGACCCCCCTGAGGAGTCATGATGCTCTCTTTTGAGACCACTAGAAACCTATCAGCAAGAGCTGTTAGGTAAAAAAGAAGGAATGCTCTGATATTTTGGGCCCACAACGCCTGTGTACGCCACAGCGACTGCGCAGGTCATGGCAACTGCGCGCACCACGGCGCCCGTGAACATCACGCGGCTGGGGGCGCGCATAGCGGCGTCAGCCGAGGGAACACATGCAGGAAAAACAGGAGGAACAGCAGCACCGGCAGGAGGAGCAGGAGGAGCAAAAGGAACCCCACGATAGGGGTCGACAACTCAGGGCCCAAGCTCTTTGTCCAAGAGCACTGCCAAGAGCACGCCATTATATAACATAGCACAGGATGTTTGACACATTTTGTGTACACCGCAGCCGCCCTCTGCACCGCAACGCATGTATGTGAACATTGACGCAACAGCTGCTGTTTCAGCGCCCCCCCGGGTACACCACAGTGTTTGCGTACACCACATAGCTTGTGTGCACCTGTACAGCCCCGACGGAGCCAAAGTCCAGGAAATCGTTGAGGGCCCGAATGTATCATTTTCAATATGTGGTGTGCTTGCGATTCTTGGTTTTTCTGGCTCGAAGAACGCCCGGGCATTTTGAGCCCACAGAGAATACGAATCTCAACGCCTGTGCGCACCACAAGGCCTGTATGCACCACAATTCTTGTGTACACCACAATGACCGAGTCCTGTATGCTCACGGAGGACGACGACGACACGGAGGACGAACATGAAGAAGGAAGAGGAGGACTAACTAGGAACATATGCGCGGGTACATCATAGCCCACAATGCACGTGTACATCATAGCGACTTTGCTCACCACAGCGACTGGGTACATCACGACGCCTGTGTACACCACAGGGATTGTGATCTGTACACCACAATGCTTGCGTACACCCACTATGCCTGTGTACACCATAGCTGCTGCTGCAACGACAATTGTGTGCGCCACATCGCCGGTGTACACCTCAATCCCTGCGTACACCATAATGCACGCCCGCGTGCACCGCGGCACCAAGAGCGCCCGCGTGCACCACAAACACTAAACTGCCTGGGATCGCGCAATGGACTGGGCCGGGGCGTTACCGTTACGGGGGGGGGCTCAGGTGGATGAAAAATGGTCTCGGGGCAGATGCTGGTAAAGGACTCGACACCAAGCCACGGGAGCACAGGCAACTCTCGGCATGCGAGGGGGTGGCGAGAGCTAGCGTTGCGTTCTGGGCCTCCACAAGGACGAGGCTCACAACATGATGCGAGTGGCTCAGGATGCGGTCTGGGCATTCTGGCGCTTCTGACTGCCCCCGGTCATCCATACACGGCCATTCGCTTATGGCCGCGCGGGACAACAGAATAACTGGACATCTGAAAGCGTACCACTAAAATTCCAGACATGGGCTGTCCATATGTTGCAATACGGGGTCCTCGAAAGTCCCGACCCTTTCCCCAGGGCCAGTTTTTCCTCCCGAGCCGTTTTCTGACGGTCTCGGGGCCCAGCGAGGGCCCCCAGGGGCCGAAAACGGCTTCTCGTCTTGACTCCTTCGCGACGCGAGCATGCCTGGGATTGCGTCCAGCACCCCATGGCTTGCTCATGTGTGCGCCTACGTCTGCCCGCGCACGATCTGCATGCGCGCGCGGGGCTATGAATGTTCGACGTCTGCGGCGAGAAGGTGGAGCACGCGGGTCTGGGCCTCGTCCGGGGCCCCACGGCTGAGCAACATCGGTGGCTCACCTCGCAGGCGACGAGCACATCCGTATCCGCAGCATCGCGGACCGGGCTCCCTGTGGGGCAACGAGACGTGTGAGGGGTGTGCCGAAATTGACATGCGGACGGCTTAGGCAGGGATGGGATTGGGGGGGAGGAGGGAGGAAGGAGACGCGGAGCGCGGCCTCTTCAAAACGATTATCCCGGCAAAGCGACCTAACAGCGATGTGTAGGAGCAGATATGGAAGCATTCCCCTTACGATTCAGATGAGAATCCAGTTGTAGAATTCTGCTGTTCTCGCAGTCGTAGTCGCATTCGCGATGACAGTCGCAGTGGCAACGGCAGTCGCAGTCACAGCCTCAGCCTCAGCCTGCCTCAGCCTCAGCCTCAGCCTGCCTCAGCCTCAGCCTGCCTCAGCCTCAGCCTCAGCCTGCTTCAGCCTCAGCCTCAGTCTGCCTTCAGCCTCGGCCTCAGCCTCAGCCTGCCTCAGCCTCACCCTGCATCAGCCTCAGCCTCAGCCTCAGCCTCAGCCTCAGCCTCAGCCTCAGCCTGCACCGCAAGATGCTTGGACAAAAACGTGTCCGCATCCGCGGCCTCGAGGGCCGGACTCCTGGGCCGCGACCCCGCGGCCACGGATGCGTGGCATGTTTCGCGGATGCCCCTCGCGGAACGTATCCGTGCGACGGCGCATCCGCGGGATTGCGCCCCGGAATGTAAGCCGCGAGGGCGTGGATACGGATACGTTCACCGCTCGTGATTCCTTCAAAACGCCGATCACAGCACTCCGAATCCAGAGCACCCATCTGCACACGTGCCATCAACATACCATGAGATCCAACGTTGCGAGAAAACTGCAACGCCGCGCAAAATCACAACCGGAGCCTTCGGCCCATCTTTCAGAGACATTTCCCGAACCCGATCGACCTGTGATGGTCCTGGGGGCCTGAAACGGGGCAAAGACGCTGGGTGTGAAAAATTGGCGACGCCAGGATCTGAGTGGAGGTGGGAGGAGTGAGGAAGGAGGAGAGCGAGAAGGCGAGAGGTACTTGTTTTCTTCGTTGCCTCCAGGAGGGGCGAGGGTGATGCAGAAGCGGGTGCCTCCGACGACACGCAAATCGCTCTGAACAGCCACCAGGCGGCCAAACGGTGCAGGGTTTGGCAGGAGCGAACCCCCTCTTGTATGTCCTGCTCCTCGTCTTCCCCGTCCAAGACAGCGTCGTCGTCCTTCTCGTCCGACTTCTCCCCCTCCTCATTCCTCACTCTCCTCTTACTCCTCTCCTCAGATCCTGGCGTCGCCATTTTCTCATACCTGGCGTTGTCGCCCTATTTGGGGCCCCAGGACCATCCCCGACCGATCGGGCGCGATAAACGCCGCAGGAAGATGGGGTCGAGGGCTGCGGCCGAGATTTTTCGCGATTTTGTATTTTTCGCAGCGTCGGATCTCAGGGCCACTCGCTCGTCCTCCTCCTCCTCCCCCCTTTCCTCTCCCTTTCCTTATAGATAACTCCTCCCTGTCGCACCCCAAGGCCGGTAAGAAAGGCGGGCCTGGAGTTTCGCCTGAGACCTCCTCCCCTTTTATGGCCCTGAGGCAAAACATTGACAACAGTTTCACAGATGGAGGGCGGGTGGTGTTCAACCAGAGGCTCTCGTCTTAGCACCGCGCACATTCGTTTTAAACATTTGAAAGAGCGTCATGACTTGAGGGCGGGTCGTTTTCTAAATGTGCCTCTCGCCTTAGCGCCGCACGAACGTTAAAAAATAAGTTGCAAGAGCTGCACGCATGGAGGGCGGGTCGCTTTCAAAATGCGGCTCTCGCATTAGCGCCGCGCACATTCGTCTTAAACAGGTGCAAGAGTTTTCCGGATTGAGCGTGGGTCGTTGTCAAAAATGTGGCTCTCGCCTTAGCGCCGCGCACGCTCCTTTAGAACATTTGCAAGAGCTTCACGGACTGAGGGCGGCTCGGTTTAAACATGTGGCTCTCGCCTTAGCGCCGCGCACATTCATTTTAAACAGTTGTAAGAATTTCGCGGTTTGAAGTCGGGTAGTTTTCAAAATGCGACCCTCGCCTTAGCGCCGCGCACATTCGTTTAAACAATAGCAAGAGCTTCGCGGATTGAGGGCGGCTCCTTTCCAACATGTGGCCCTCGCAGTGGCGCCGTGCCCTTTCGTTTCAAACATTTGCAAGGGTTTCGCGGATTCAAATCTCAGAAACGGTGTTTGGGAGCGATTGAAGATAGCCAAGGCGCAACAGTCACGTTGATTCTCGGTGTTGAAGTCCCAGAAACGGTGTTCTGGCACGATTCAGGATCGC